GAACAAGGAGTCCTTGTTTCCCGAACTGCCTTGCCCGCCCCCAGTGCGGCGTCTAACGGTAGACGGGACTTTGGTTTCCCTCCGTTTTCAGGCACAGCGTTGTGTTTGCCCACCCAGGTTATTCCGCAGGCGGAAGGGGGATCCCAAGTGTATGTGGATCTCCGCTGACAGCTCTAAGATGGTCGAGCTTTGGAGGCAGAGAAGAGTCTCCTCCTCCTCCTCATGTTCAGTTGGTTTAGCTTTTCTTCTTCTTTGATCCTGGCTGTTATTTCAGATGCAGGAGCCGTTGATGAAGGTGGAAATGGTCGCGGTATCTCCAGAAGGCGGAGAAGCTCTCTCCGGTCTCTCTATGGAGCATCTGTTGGGAAGGATCTCTGAGGAGGATCCAACTCGGGCCACGTTGCCATGTAAGTGAAGGTTGGTTCTGAGGGCAGTGAAGCCTGAAGGCATTTCATTCATGTGCTTCTTCTATAAATAATTCTGGGCTGGTGTTACATTATATTGCTTCCCCATAGCTGACTCACCCAGCTTCCAAATATTCTTTATCCATCTCTTTTTATCTTGATCACAGGGAATGGAAGGCTGCTGATGGAAATTGCTGAAACATCCCCTCCTCTTTGTGGTGGAGCTGCAACAGCTCAGGTAGGAGAGCTTCATCAGAGCTGGGAAGCCTTTGGGGGCCCCAATTCTGTCAGGAGATTCAGTGCAGAGCCTGTTAAGGAGCTCAGGTGTTGAGATCAGGATTTGGCTTGGTCCTGCTTTCAAGATGGTTGTTTAAACATAAACTACAGAAAACAATTTGGAAAAATCAAATTCATTCATGCAATGTTACTATTACATGTATTTTCAATTTGTTTATATATTTGTATTGTGCTGAACAAATTTGGGCTTGTTTTGGGAAAAGCTGCCCCTAACAATTTTCTCCACACATGGCATGTCAGAAATTAGAGGGAACATTGTACCAGGCAGGTGGACAGAATACCACTGCTCCTTTGAGCACTTTCGCTGCACCATTTTGAATCAAGGAAAGGGTCCCCGAGATTTCTGCATTGCTGTACTCTAACCTGGATGTAAGAATTGCATCTTTTTGCACTTGTCAACAATATCTCAACCATAGTGACTCTTTGGAGAGGCAGCTACAAAACCTGGTATCATTTCATGTCAGAAAAGGAGCTTTCTTTCAGTTTCAAAGCTCTGGCATTTGGATCTATGAAATATGGGAGAAAACTTGCAAGTCCTTCCTGGGACTTCTATTGAGGAGCGTTTCCTTTGACTTTCAGGGCTTGGTGTCCTTTGAGGAGGTGGCGGTGTATTTCACGGAGGAGGAGTGGGCGTTGCTGGGTCCCAGCCAGAGAGCATTACATGGGGAAGTGATGATGGAGAATTCTAGGAATGTGGCCAGTCAGGGTAAGGGTCCGCTTTGCTCTGGGTTCAATTAATTGTGAAAAGTCTTTTGTTGTCCAAGTGCTGAGAAAGTACCTTCTAGCTAGAAGAAGGACATTTTTTTAATATATTGAAAATCGTGAGTAGATGGAGAATTTGGTAGATGACTCACAAGATTGTTTCTCATTTGAGCCTTTGAGGAAGCTATTCTTTAGTGAATATGACAGTTTCTCTCTAATCTGATCAAGAGCAGATGCCCTGAGCAGCTTTGGTGAGGAAGATACTGCCCTGTATCTCCCTTCTGTCTGTTCCTTACAACTATCCTATTCCCTAGGTTGCCTAATAACCAATGGCGATTTTTCACATTGGCTGTTTGGACAAAGGCCTCTCCTTCAGCTGCTGGGTAAATCATGTGTAAACTCCCTGTAGAGCTGGAATAAGTGGCATTTTCCCCTGAGTCATAGTGCTGCAGCCCTAGATAGTTCTACAGGCACTGTTAAAAAAGATACTGTCTTGAAACCTGGGATGATTTCAAAAAGCCACATAGCTTTGCATCCAGTTAGTTAAGTCACACAGCTGCTGCATAAGCAAAGCAAATTCATATTTTAACATTTCTGCAGTGATACTACACGCATCGGCAGTTTAGCATCTTCTCATCATTCTCACACATTTAAGGCTTCCTTTCATCAGTTTATAGCATTCAGTTCAATTCCCCTCTTTGACATATCACTATCGTTCTTCTACCAATCCCTAAAATACTTCTTCCAGAATTCCCCAGTTTCAGTTTTGTTCCCAAAAAGGTTCATCCCTTTTTCTTCTTAATTCTCACTGCTAGCTCTAGCTGACAGTTGAAGAGTGAGGATGGATGCACCACTCCCATCCTGCTTGTACCAAAAGTCATCTGTAAGTGTGATCAGTGAGGTAGGTAGTCCTCACTTAACGATAGTAATTGGGACTGGAATTTCTGTCACTAAGCGATGCAGTCATAAAGTGCGATGTCATGTGACCCCGCCGCTTAGCAATGGAAATTCTGGCACTTCCGGTTGCTGTCCTTAAGCGAGTCACCACGTGTCATTAAGCGAGAATGTCATCTGGTCGCCATTTGCGACATCCTGCCAGCTTCCCTATTGACTTTGCTTGCACGAAGCCAGTAAAGGAGGCCGCAAATGGCGATCACGTGGCCGGGGGATGCAGCAACTGCTGTAAGTGCAAGGACCAGTTGTAAGTACCATTCGTTCACCACTGTCATAAGTGTGAACGGTCATTGAATGAGTGGTCATTAAGCGAGGCCCACTTGTATTATCCTTCCCAATAGTAGGGAATACAGCACATAGATGGAACTGAGGCTGCTAACCTCTTTTATTCTTTCTTTTTCTTACCTAATGCATTATATCATAGGATCATTGGGTTGGAAGGGACCTTAAATCCTACCCCCTGCCCAATACATATCCTTGCCAGGAAAACTCAATTTTGATTTGTACTTCAACCATCATATTCTCAGAGCCTCTTTTATGTTTGAGGGAGACATTCACCTTAGGAGAGATAGGTTAACAATTATAACACATCCTCTTCCCTGTCATTTGAAATGCCGTGATGAATTTAGGCCAGTTTGCTCACTATACAGTATAGGGCATTTCCAAAATTCCATTTGCTGTTATAAAGGTGAAGGCATCAATTCAAGAGATCCACAGGTTTTTTTTACAGTTTGTTCTTGATGCTCCTTGCTCCTGATTATTCCATTTTTGGGCAACCAAAGAGCAGAGGGGTTTTAAACTTTAAGCCTTATTTTAGGTATTAGATTCAGTCACTGGAGCAGCATAAACTACCAATAAAATTAAATCTTTTCTTCTAGGCTTACAAAGAGGAACCCAGAAAAATCTTGGAGATGCAGAAATAATGGATGCAGCATTTTTCTGTGATGAATGTTATGATTAACTTTTTTTTCTTTTCTTGTTTTCTTCTAATCAGCTTATGGGCAAGAGCATGACAATTACAATGAGCCCAGCACAGTGCTATTACAAATGCTCAAGTCTGAAAAAGGGGCACTTCAAAAGAGTAAGAAAAGTTGCATGAGGAATGGAGGGAAGAAATCTTCTGGTCACAGGGAAGTCCACGACCTCTCAGCGCAGCAAGTTCACCAACAAGAAAAAAAGGGAAAATATCTTGGATGTGGCAAAACAGACAAAGAGACATCTGATTTCATTAAACACTGTACAACTCAGACTACAGAGGAATATCAAGAAAATGGGCAAAGTATCAGTCATACCTCCTCTTTTACTTTACATCCCCAATCGTATATCAAAGAGACAGCACATGCATTTATAAAAATCAGTTTGAGCAGTCATCTTATTTCCCATAAAGAGGAAATACTGTATGAGTGTGGAAAGGGTTTCAGCAAGAAGCAGTTGATTTTTTTACCCCAAAAAATTCACCCAAGGGAGAAACCATATAAATGTGTGCGGTGTGAAAAGACTTTCACTCAGAGAAGTAACCTTATTATACATGAAAGGATCCACACAGGAGAGAAACCATATGTATGCCTGGTGTGTGGAAGAAGGTTCAGTCAGAGTGGTCATCTTACAAGACATAAAAGAACCCACACTGGGGAGAAGCCCTATCAGTGCACAGAATGTGGAAAAAAATTTAGTTTTTGCGGTAGTTTTATAGTGCATAAGAGGTTGCACACAGGAGAGAAACCGTATAAGTGCTTGGAATGTGGAAAAACCTTCAGTCAGAACAGTCACCTTTTGAAACATGAGAGAATTCACACAGGGGAGAAACTGTATAAATGCCTAGAGTGTGGAAAGAGTTTCAGTGCAAGCTGGCAATTTAGATATCACAAAAGAATTCACACAGGGGAGAAACCATATGAATGCTTGGAGTGTGGGAAGAGCTTCACTTACAGCAGTCAGCTTACTTGCCATAAAAGAACTCATACAGGGGAGAAACCGTATAAATGTTTGGAGTGTGGAAAGGATTTTAATAAAAGCAGCAGTCTTACAAATCATAAAAAAATTCACACAGGAGAGAAACCCTATAAATGCACAGAATGTGGAAAGTGCTTCAATCAGAACAGTTACCTCAGGAAACATAAGAGAATTCACACTGGGGAGAAACCATATAAATGCCTAGAGTGTGGAAAAAGCTTTACTCAGAGAGGTCACCTTATGATGCATGAAAGAATCCATACAGGGGAGAAACCCTATACATGCACTGAATGTGGAAAGAGCTTCAATCAAGACAGTTACCTTAGGAAACACAAGAGAATTCACATAGGGGAAAAACCATATAAATGCACTGAGTGTGGAAGGAGCTTTTGCTACAGCAGTCGCCTTACATGCCACGAAAGGATTCACACAGGGGAGAAACCATATACATGTTTTAAATGTGGAAGGAAGTTCAGGGGAAGTGGTAGCTTTATTATGCATGTAAGAATTCACACAGGGGAGAAACCATATAAATGTTTGGAATGTGGAAAGAGTTTCAGTCAGAACAGTGTCCTTATTTGCCACAAAAGGATTCACACAGGAGAGAAACCATACAAATGCATGGAGTGTGGAAAGCACTTCAGTCAGAACAGTAACCTTATCAAACATACAATAATTCACAGAGGGGAGAAACCTTGTAAGTGCACAGAGTGTGGAAAGAGGTTCAGTCAGAAAAGTCTACTTGTGCAACATAGAAGAATACATGCAGGGGAGAAACCCTATAAGTGCACAGAATGTGAAAAGAGATTTAGTGCAAGAGATAGCTTTATGACACATAAAAGGTTGCACGCAGGAGAGAAGCCATATAAATGCTTGGAGTGTGGAAAGAGCTTCATTTGCAGCAGGTATCTTACATACCATAAACGGATTCATGCAGGGGAGAAACCATATAAATGCATGGAATGTGGAAAGAATTTCAATTCAAATTCACATCTTACAGATCATATAAGAGTACACACAGGAGAGAAAACATATAAATGCTCAGAGTGTGGAAAGAGCTTCAGTCGGAACAGTGTCCTTACTCGCCATAAAAGGATACACACAGGAGAGAAACCATATGAGTGCACAGTGTGTGGAAAGAGCTTCAGTCAGAACAGTGTACTTTCTTGCCACAAAAGGATCCACACAGGAGAGAAACCATATGAATGCACAGAGTGTGGAAAGAGCTTTATTCAGAAAAGTCTACTTGTGCAACATAAAAGAATTCACAGAGGGGAGAAGCCCTGTAAGTGCACAGAATGTGGAAAGAGGTTCAGTCAGAAAAGTCTACTTGTGCAACATAAAAGAACACACACAGGGGAAAAACCCTATAAGTGTGCAGAATGTGGAAAGAGGTTTAGTGTGAGATGTAGCTTTATGAGACATAAAAGGGTTCACACAGGAGAGAAACCCTATAAGTGCGCAGAATGTGAAAAGAGATTTAGTGCAAGAGATAGCTTTATGAGACATAAAAGGGTGCACACAGGGGAGAAACCATATAAATGCTTGGAGTGTGGAAAGAGCTTCACTTGCAGCAGGTATCTTGCATCCCATAAACGGATTCATACAGGGGAGAAACCACATAAATGCCTAGAGTGTGGAAAGAGCTTCACTCGCAGCAGGTATCTTACATACCATAAACGGATTCATACAGGGGAGAAACCGTATAAATGCATGGAATGTGGAAAGAGTTTCAGTGGAAACTCACATCTTACAGATCATATGAGAGTGCACACAGGAGAGAAACCATATAAATGCACAGAGTGTGGAAAGAGCTTCAGTCGGAACAGTGTCCTGATTTGCCATAAAAGGATACACACGGGGGAGAAACCGTATGAATGCACAGAGTGTGGAAAGAGCTTCAGTCAGAACAGTGTCCTTTTTTGCCATAAAAGGATACACACAGGAGAAAAACCGTATGAATGCACAGAGTGTGGAAAGAGCTTCAGTCAGAACAGTCACCTTATCAAGCATAAAAGAATCCACACAGGAGAGAAATTATAATATCTGGAAAAATAATAAAAAGAGAACTGTAGATTCAGGGTCGGTTGGAAGATTACCTTTATAAGACAAAATGGAATCCATCTGGGAGAACTAAAAAAATGTCTGGAATGTGGAAATGATTTCAAAATGGTTTCTGCTCTTCCCAAAAAAGGTCCACAGTGGGATACATTATAAATGCTTGGAGTGTGGAGAAAGTTTGGATACCAGCAGTAGGCTTCTTTTTCAAGAAAACAGGAAGGAAAAACCGCATGAATATGTGAGTTTGCACTAGCTACATGGATGCTAAATAATTGGAGTGTGCAAATACATTATTGAACATGAAATGATCAATTTAGGTGAGAATGTATATCAACCAATGGGGCAAAGAATAATAGGACTGCCATTTTACCAAGCTCTGTAAATGAGTGGAATGTGGGAAGGATAGTGATGGCTGAAACTTCTTCAAAGTGGCCCTGACAAGCATAGCCTCCTTTTGTTGCGTGAAAAGGAATCATAATCAGTGCAAAATAATATTTCTGATTTGTTCATCTAACGCATAAAACTATTTCGAGTAGACTTTCAGTGAGATGCATGTAAGAAAGGAGAAGCTAGAGCTGAGTTTGACCGTTATGACTTCCTCCATCTAGTCATTCTTGGAAGCATTACCGAACATGTTTTCTGATTTTTCTTCCAGCCTGCAGCACTAATGTTCCAGGTAATCCAAGTCTTGGTGGCCTTGCTTG